ATTAGAGGGAGATGATGACAATGACAGTGATGTAGATGACTACTTTAATCAGCCAACTCAGCCTTTTTTAGCAAAAGAAAATACTGATAGATCACTCTTGGAAAGACCAACACAGTGTTTTCGTGATACTTCTCCAAAAAATATAACAAAGGATGATGATGATGAAATAGATGACTTTTTTAATGAACCAACTCAAGCTTTTGCTGAAGCCAAGCATAATGCAGACATTGATTCTGATGCACCGACTCAGCTGTTTGGCAAAAAATCTGAAGTTGTAGGAGCACTAAGTGAAGATGAAAGTTTACCACCTACACATAGTGCAGACATTGATTCTGATGCACCGACTCAGCTGTTTGACAAAAAATCTGAAGATATAGGAGCACTAAGTGAAGATGAAAGTTTACCACCTACACATAGTGCAGACATTGATTCTGATGCACCGACTCAGCTGTTTGACAAAAAATCTGAAGATATAGGAGCACTAAGTGAAGATGAAAGTTTACCACCTACACAGATATTTACTGCACCATCTCCAAATGAGTTGACATTAAAGAGAGATGAACAGGCTGATGATTCTTTAATGCCCACCCAGCCATTCACACCAAAAGACAGTACAAATACACCTAAAGCCTCTGAAGATACATCAACTCACAGTGAACCATATGATGTAGATGCACCAACCCAAATTTTTCAGGAGCCACTTGTAGCTCGGGATACTAATGAACCACCCCAGGTATTTCATGATGAAGAACTTGCTGAAAGTGCTGAGAGCATTGCTCCAACTCAGGTCTTTCAAAATGATGTGAATGTCACAGATGGAGATTGCAGAGCATCCACACAGTTGTTTATACCTGAAGATAAAACATGCCCTGTTAATAGACCACAAAGAGGCATAAGTGAAGTATGGGATAAATTGGATGCAGATGCAACTCAAGACATTAGTCTAAATGTAGATGTTAATATTGATGAAACACGTTTGGCTAATGAGTCCAATTTACAAGTATTGTCTGAAAGAAAAGAATTAGTAAACAAAGAAGATTATAAGGGATCTGACATGAATTATGATGATGATAACTCCTCCACTGTGTCAGAAAATTTGTTAGAACAAACACCACAGCCACATTACAAAGATTGTCTACTTAAGGAAGACGGTCAAGAGACCAAAGATGAGAACTACTATTCAGATGAAAGCACCGATATGGAAGATGAAATCTTAGCTCCCAAAGACACTGTGAAAGTTCAAGAAGTGACAAATGATACAAGTATTTTACAAACAAGTAATATGTCTCGCTTAGAGTTGAGTTCTGATTCAGATATCATCCCAGAGGTTAAAGGCACTGTCACTCAGCCACCTAAAAATGAAAAATCTCCTCAGGAGTTAGAGGGGCAGAAAGACAAGCCATTGGATGGGGAAAAGAAGCAGACTTATGGAGATAATGGATCTCAACAATGCAAAGCTCAGAAAGAAGGGGCCAGTGGAAAACCAGGAATACATTTCACAAGAGTTTCCAAGGTGGTTGCTTCTGAACCAGTAGTTCTAAAGTCAGTAGGCAAGGCAGCTAAGTACAGCCAGTCTACACAAGATTCTACCTGTGTGAAAGACATCAAAATTTACTCGTCAGATAGTGATGACAGTGATAGTATGGATAGTAAGAACTGCAAATCAGTGTCAGAAAAAGTAAAAGAGGTTGCAGAAATTTTGAGTGACAGTGAAACTGATGATGATGTAGGTAATGTTTCACAAAGGTTATTTGAGTTTTCTGAGGAGGACGAAGTTGATAAAGGAATAGGAAAACAGACTAGTAATAAAGATAAATTTGAGGAGGAATACCATCATAACACAAAGGGAAGAGACAAAACAGAGAAACAAGACGAACAGATTCATGCATGGCAATGTCGAAAGGCTGAAAAAAGAACTGTAGAAAACATAGCCAAAGAAAATGAACTAAACATCCAAAAGGAAGATGAAAAGGAAACTCCAATAAAGAGCAAAATAAACACAAGAAAATCCTTAATGAAACAGATTGAAAGTCCCATTGACTCTCACAGTAAAAATGATATTAGGAATATGATTAACAAGAAGGAAATTGTTGAAAAGTCAGATAAATGTAGAGAAGTTGGTGCAGAAGAGACAAAATGTAATAAAACAACAAGAGAAAGAAGACGGGATAAGAGACAGAGCCTAGATTTAGACTCTAACACAGAGCAGAAGACAAAGAGTGGAAGAATAAGGAGAGAACCCAGAAGATTTTCTCCAGATAGAAATTCAGAGGTTGCTGATACATCATCTGCTTCTGTTATATCAAAAGGAAAAACAGTGAACATCACAAAAAACATGGAAGAACATGTAGGTGTTCATCTGTCAAAGAGAACACAATCATCAACACCATCCCCTTTGAAAAAAAATTATGATAATGAAGTAGAGACAACAATCTCTTTATCAGCAAAACTAGGGAACAGTCCAGAGACTGATCCAAACAGAGTGGACTCTCAAAAAAAGGGACTTCAGCAATCAGTTCCACAGACAAAGGAAGTTCAGCTTGAGACAGAAGGTAATTTGCAAGGAAAATGCATTGGAGAAATTGTAGGTAAGCAAGTAAGAAAAGATCCAGGAAAAAGAGAACGAAGATCAATATCTAAAACTTTAAAGGAACCAAAAATAGAAGAGGAAATTCAGCAAAGCAGTTTAGAAACTGAGAATACTAATTCTGAAAGTGTAGGCCATGAAAAAAAAATGGAAGTACAGAGAAAGACAAATAGGGCCAGTATTGCACTAACAAAGAATCTGGTTACAGTAGCTGAGGAACAAAGTTTGGAGCCTGTCAGAAGAGGTCGCAGATCTGCAATCAATAACCCAAAGGAAGGAAAAACAGAAAAAGCAAGTGAATCAAACAGGGAAACAAGAGTTACTGTTGCTGATATTGTACATAAGGAAGAGAATATGCATACTCAAAGTAGACAAAGCAGATCAGCATGTGGTAGGCCAAAAGGGAATAGGAACATAAGCACTAATCACATAACTAAGCAGGAGACAGAAGAAAAAATGATAATTAGAAAACAAGAAAACAGTGTTGAACCACGTCGAAGGGGACGTAAATCAGCAATTACCAAGTCAGAGGAAGGTATGACTGAAGAAGCAGATGAAGCTGTTAAGCAGAAATCACTAGGAACTAGTGTAGAAAACAACCCAGAGGAATTGACCAAAAGAGCAAATCAGAAAATGCAGCGGAAGAGTGTAGAAGATAGCATAGAAGAGCCATTAAAGCAAGAAGTGAAAGTACAGCCATCAAGAAGAGGACGTAGATCAGCAGTTCCTAAGTCAAAGGATGGTAATACTGAAAATATATCTGTAACTGAGAATAAAGATGTAGAAATTGAAATTAAACCCTCTAGGCAAGGGCGAAGATCAGCAGTTCAAAAATCAGTTGAGAGTGGAATTGTGAATCAGATGAGGGAAACAGAAGATAATGATACAGGAAATGGAAGTAAAGAAAAGACAGCTGGTCGACAGAAAAGAGCACGCAGATGGGTTGTTAGTGAGACAAAGGTAGTTGATGAATCAACAGATTCTAACAAAACATCTAGCTTGAAATTGACAATTAAGTCAATGCAGAAAGAATCTGAAGCAACAAATCGTCCTCAGCGTAGAGGAAGAGCAAGTATTGCTACATCACATCCTACTGTAAAGGAGGTTCCAAGGTCTACCAGACAAGTACGATTGAGCATGATATCTGAGAGGATGGAAGATGAGAATGATGGACCAAGTAAATCAAAGAAACTAAAAAAGTCACAAGATAAGGAATTAGGAGGATGTAGTTCTGTTGAGGAAAAGCTTTCAGAGATGAAAGTTAAAGATAAAAGAAAGCAAAAACAGAAAACTTCAGCTGAAGAAAGTTCAGATAGTGAGTCAAGTTCAAAGAGGTCATCAAGCCAAGAGAGTCAAAGATCACAGGGCAGGAAAAGGGCAAGAAGAAATAGTAATTCTTCAGAGGATTTACACTCGACGCCAAAGTCGGCAAGAACAAGAATCAAAGTAGTAAGTTTAAAATCTCTCTTTGTTAACCCAATGTCACTGGGAAAATACTGTTCTCATTTTTTTATTTATTTTTTTTATTTTTTTATTTTTTATTTTTTTTGTGAAATGCTTCTGAACATAGATAGCTCTGCTAGTGCTTAGCCACAAAGGAGTCAATGAAGCTGAACCTGATTTCACCTTTCCTTGAATTTATTTATTTATTTATGATTATTATTATTATTATTATTTTTTTTTTTTGCTAATGCTATCAGTTTAACATGATTTCTTTGTGGAATTTCACTTACTTTTTCTGACTTTATACTCAAAATTATGAAAGATTTCTTCCTGAAGCTCATACAGATTTTTCTCTTTATTATACTATTTATAACAGGAATCACCATATAGCAAGGGTATCCTGTGGTCACCATCACAAAGGCAGCAACAGGCTGATGTACGACCCAAAGTCCTTTTTACTGGTTACACGGACCAACAGGATGAGAAGATTGTTACAGATTTAGGTAAGTTGTTATTTTTTAACTTTTTAGAAGTTGTGTATGTGTAAAATGTATGTATGTGTGTATATATATGTATATATGTATATATATGTATATAAGTATATATACATGTATATGTATATATATACATGTATATGTATACATATATATATATATATATATATATATATATGTATATATATACATATATACATATATGTATATATACACACACACACACACACACACACACATATATATATATATATATATATATATATATATATATATATATATATATATATATATATATATATATATATATATATACATATATACATATATACATATATACATATATATATATATATATATATATATATATACATATATACATATATACATATATACATATATACATATACATATGTGTATATATATGGGAGTGTAAATGTAGACATGTATGTTTTGTATATATGCATATATTTAAAATATGTATATATGTGCATTATGTATATGTTATATTTGTGCATGTATGTATATATTATATATCTACATACATATATACATATATATGTATATTTAAATATATCCACACACATACGTGTGTGTGTGTGTGTGTGTGTGTGTGTGTGTGTGTGTGTGTGTGTGTGTGTGTGTGTGTGTGTGTGTGTGCGTGTTTATGTGTGCGTGTTTATGTGTGTGTGTGTGTGTGTGTGTGTGTGTGTGTGTGTGTGTGTGCGTGTGTGCGTGTGTGCGTGTTTGTGTGTGTGTGTGTGCGTGTTTGTGTGTGTGTGTGTGTGTTTGTGCGTGTTTGTGTGTGTGTGTTTGTGTGTGTGTGTGTTTGTGTGTGTGTGTTTGTGTGTGTGTGTGTGTGTGTGTGTGTGTGTGTGTGTGTGTGTGTGTGTGTGTGTGTGTGTGTGTGTGTGTGTGTGTGTGAGAGAGAGAGTATGTGAGTATGTATGTATGTATGAATGTGTATTGGTATTCTCTTGATGTATATATATTTTTTTATTTTTGAAGGGGGAATGGTTGTGGAATCTCCAAAAGAGTGTTCAGTGCTTGTTACGATGAATGTCCGAAGAACTTGTAAGCTTCTAGCGGTCATTGGTAAAGGCATGCCCATTGTCACACCACAATGGCTGTCAGCATCAAAATTAGCAAGAAACTTTGTTGGTGAGTTATAGATATACCTGTTATTCTGTTTATGATCTATAATGAATTAGAATGGTAGTAAACTGATAATTTATTTGAATAAGATATCTTTGAGTAATATGTAATGTTTCTATGTTTATAATACCATTTGTTATTATTCTTAAGATGTTTTCAGATCTCATGACATCACAGGGATGGCATTTGCATACATGCTATACCCATGCCATTATTTATGCTTACAGATGGCTCTGGAAGTGCTTAATCACCAAGGAGTCAATTACTAGTCGTACATATTTGAATTGATTACCATTTTCCTGGATTTTTACAAATATTCTTTCATGTTATACAGTCCCAATATTGTTGGCAATAAAAGTATGATAATTACAATATCAATACCATATGGTGGGGGGAATAAAAAAAACACAAGAAAAGGATAAATCGGGTAAGGTCACAAGGTATACTTATTGACTTTTTGGTGGTTAAGTACTTGTGGAGCCATCTAACTGTAAAGACATTTAACCCAAATGAGCACAGCATTTTCCCCATTTTTTGTTTATATTTACCTGGCGCGAATGGGTTAACAAAGCAAAACTACAGTATTAATTTATTCATATCTTTTCGCACCAGTGCTGTACTCTATCTAAGGCATTATTGTTTGAGTCTTTGAGGTCTTCGTTGGAGCATACAAGTCCTAGTGGGCACCCATGGGGGGATATGAGTTATTGCCTTAGAATGCATCACCACAAAGGCATTCCACATCTTTGGCAAGCACCCATTTTAGGAGATTATCCTTGCTTTTGCCTGATTTGTTCTAACCCTGTTTAGGGTTAACCAGTCCTTTCAACAGAGGTTTGAACCACATGAATGGCTTTCACTTATATCTTCATTGGTACAGCAGTATATTTCTCCCCATTTTTCCATTCTGCAAGACATGGGTCCAGGTCATCCAATGTTGTGAAGCTTCAGCGAGACTTAACCCATTACTGATGGGCATGGCATGAGTGCTTATGCCATGCCCACGGTGCATTTACTTTATTAAGTGTTTTTATACATAGATGGCTACACTTGTACTAAGTCATCAATGAGCCAATTATGAGTACTGTCTGTCTTGCCCTTTTACCCTTTTCCTTGATTTATGAAAATATTTTATGTTATCTTATTTTGCACACACGCATGCTTATGTATGCAAAATCTCTGCATATGTAAGTATATGCAGAGTATACAATATATGCTTAACCCATTGCCACCGGGGAAAATTAACAAAAAATGGGGAAAATGCTGTGCCTATTTTCTATTTTTTTTTTTTTGTGAAATGTCTGCCCATAGATGGCTCTGTTAGTGCCTGATTTGAAATGGCGGGAAAAACGTATTTTTCACTAGTGCCATGAATATCGATGGTGTTATTTTTATTATAAACATAATTATTATAATGTTTTTTAACATTAGTAACAGCAAAATAAGATAACGTGAAATATTTCGTAAATCAAAGAAAAGGGTAAACAGGTGAGACGGGCAGTACTCATAACTGGCTCATTGTTGATTTAGTACAAGTGTAGTAATCTCACAGTGCACATGGCATGGCATGCCCGTCAGCAATGGGTTAACCCTGTGCCGACAGGCATGACGTGTACATACGTGTTATGCCCACTGTGAGTACTTGTTTGATTGTTTTTACACATAGATGGCTACACTTGTACTATGTCACCAATGAGCCACTTATGAGTACTGTCTGTCTTGCCCGTTTACCCTTTTCTTTGATTTACAAAAACACTTTACGTTATCTTATTTTGTTGTTACTAATGTTTATAACATTATAGTAATTATAATGTTTATAAT